TTACTTGTTATATAGTCGAAAAAATGGAAGCTTCTACTGGAGATGCCAGACCTCGCTATGTAATCGCTCGCCGGATAAAATGCGCTTTTCGCCGTCGCTTTTCGCCCGACCGAAAACCGTTGAGGCCTCCTCAATCGGGCTTCATGAAGTACGCAGTCCCGTCAGCATTAGTCCTCGTCAGCATGAAGTACCCATCCGGGCCCGATAAGGGCCCGTTTTGCGAAAAGCCCGCAGCCGTATGGTGCTTTCTTGCGGCCACCGGCACGTATTGGCTGATTGCCGGTCGGAAAATGCAGGCCGGCAGCCGGAAATTAATGCGTCTTGTGGCTCTTGTTTCCGTGCTCGTCTCTGTAGTCTCCCTGCTTGCTGTTTTTCTCCCGGGAGAAAAATGGCCTCTGTTTGTACCTCCAGCTGCCCTGCTGATGTGGCATGAGTTAAAGTGCGTGTACCGTTGGAGTGCTGCCAAGGTTGAGAATGTTGTGGACAAGATTGGAGCCAAGCAGCGGACTTTGCCCGTGTCGAACAACCGTGTACGCGAATCGATTTAGTTATCTTATTTCAGAGTTTTGGTGTAATAAGTCGGGGAGGGGATTCTTCAATTTTTCTTGTTGATTGTAGCTATTTTATTTGAGAGTTTGTGTATAAGTCGGGGATTCTTTCAGTTATTCGCTTTTAGTATATGGTTGTTTTGAAATACGTGTACAAGTTTAGAGGATAAGATAAATTTTTTTTAGAACTATAGAGATTTTATAGAAAACGACAGTTGAATGCCTCGGCTAAAAAGTTGAAAAAAAGTGAGGAGACAGATCCAAAGATCGTTTAAAATTTAAACTATACAACAAAAACTAGACAAGGCACCTACAAACACAACAATAATTAAAAAGCTCAAAAAATGGAGAATCAACATTCCCACACACGAGACTACACGCTCTCAAATGGGAAAAACACAAACCCGGAAACACTCATCGCTGGGTTTGCCCCGCCGGTGTTGTCTTTCATGGCAGCTTAGTATTTTTTTTCATGGATTTTAGTAATGAAACGCTCATCAGCGCTTTAGTCAGTTTTTCGTATTTTATTGTTTCAAAATTGTTTGTATTTTATTTTTTCATGTATTTTAGTGATGAATCGCCCGCTTAAATCAGTTTTCCAATTGTCTGAGGACATTTCCTCTTTGTCTATTTCTATTGCCTTTCTGCCAGTGGTTTTCTGCTTCTAGTGTAGTGTTGTTGGTTTGTTGACCATGTTGGTCTTCTAAGGGAGCTCATCTTGAGCTTCCCCTTTTTATCGTAAATCTTTGGTCACTCCTTGTACATTGACGGTTTTATTGAAATTTGATGTTTTGTAAAAAAAAAAAAATATCAGTTTTTCCTATTTTATATTTTTCAGTTGAAATCTCTGAGTCTATTATGCAGTATTTTTATTTTTTCAATTCAAATATTTTATATACTAAATATATATTATTTTTATTTGATAAAACATTGACCATAATCTGTACTATATAATGCTTTGTGTTTTGAAACCTACACTATTTTAATTTCTTGACAAAATGCAATATGAATTTAGTGAACATTTATAATTCACAATTCGCCTACTTTGATACGATCATTCTCGAAAATGGACATATGATCATTCATGGAAATAAACACGTGCATGTCAAGAAATAGGCGGGTGTGCAAGTTATAAATATTCATGAAGATGAAGTTTGGGTTGCATTTTAGCACAAAATATGTTTTAGCACAAAAGATAGTTTAGGTTGCCAGCCCAAAACACGACTTGGAAAAAATAATTTACCCATATATACTTATCCACCATCAAATAAAGCTATAGCCTATAATAAGTAGGCTATAGCTTTATTTGATGGTGGATAAGTATATATTACACATGCTTAATCATTCACCGCCTTTAAAAATGTTACTAGTATGAGTCCCGTGCAGTGCACGGGTAAGAGATATTCATAAATATTTATAAAATAAAAATTCTTATTAAATAATATTTATAAATGAAAAATATAGAATCAATATGTAATACAATTTACTTATATTAATTTATTGAAAATATTATATAAAGTTTAAATTGTGCAAAATTACATAAAAATGTCTGTTTAAAATAAGTATACACCCGTGTGGTGCACATAACTGATATTATTTCTTTGGGTATATAAATATTTGAAAGAGTCCTAAAAAAAATGATATTATTTCCAATTAAATTTTGAGAAAAATTTCATGCAGATTTGTAGATAGGTGAGTTTAGTGAAACAAAATCTTTTATATATATATCTATACAAATCCAATCCGATTTGCATGTGATTTTAATTTAAAATTTATCAAATGTGAAAGGAACAAATTCAAACTGATTTAAGTGAGCGGGATTTTCAATTCTTTTAAAAAAATAATTAAGTTTAGTAATTCTAAAATTTAGGCGAGAATTGAAATGTTTTTTTTTTTTTAATTTTTTAGTTGATTTTTTCAAACAACTATCATTCCCTCTTTATATATTAATAGATTTGTGACTTCTACAAGTCACTTAAAAAATTCTAAGAGGTTTTTATTATTTGTGGCTCACTTATAAAATTCTAAAAGCTGTTTTTAGAATATAATATATATATATTCAAGAATGATCCAAGTATCCTACTAGTTTTGTGAACTTGTACACATAAATGATTTTCAAACATGCCTTTTCCATTATCCTACCAGATGTGAACTAATGATGTAAATTTTATAAGAGAATGAAATTAGGGTCAATAAATAAAATCCATCAATTATTCTAGAAAAAAAAAAAGCAACAAATTGATAGCTAGGCTGAAAATAATCCTCTGCTAATTCGATAAACAGAAAACTCTTATTACACCAAACATCAACATCCAAAGCTTTAAATTTTCCTCTTGAGTGTAACAAACCTGGGCACAAGGTGTAACAGTCTTGGTGGGTGCCGGTGTATTTGCCGGAAAAAGGGTTGCAGTAAAAAGTCGTTGTTTCCAGACATGGTGGACGTCGTTGGGTGCGCGCCGGCGCGAAGAGTCCGAAGGTGTCATTAGATTTCGGTGAGTCGCCGTGAAATTGAAAGAGAAGACCGAAATTTCGTAGATTTAAAAATTTTGACCGGAGCAATTGACGGCGTTACTGGTGAAATTTTCACCTGAAATTTTAGGAGGTGAACGAAGATGTGAAGAGTTACAAGATGATGTAAAAAAAATTCCGATTGAAGATGGTCCACCGGCGGCCAACGGTCGGCGAACAATGACAGAGGTGGCTGACGGAAGGGGATGGGCTGAAATAGGGTTAAGGATTGTAGGGGCTTATTTTGGATAAATTTAATAAGTTATATGGACAATTTTGTCCGTGTCGAACAACCGTGTACGCGAATCGGTTTAGTTATCTTATTTCAGAGTTTGGGTATAATAAGTCAGGGAGGGGATTCTTCAAATTTTCTTGTTGATTGTAGCTATTTTATTTGAGAGTTTGTGTATAAGTCAGGGGATTCTTTCAGTTATTCGCTTTTAGTATATGGTTGTTTTTAAAATACTGTACCAGTTTAGTTTAGAGGATAAGATAAATTTATTTCCCCTTGATTGTATTTTTTTTTAGAACGATAGAGATTTTATAGAAAACGATATTCCTTAGCTGAATGCGTCAGCTAAAAAGTTGAATACAAGTGGGGAGACAGATGCAAAGATCGTTTAGAACTTACGCTAGAACAAAAACTAGACTAGTCACCCACAAACACAACAATAACTAAAAAATGGAGAATCAACATTTCCACACATGAGACTACACGCTCTCAAACGAGAGAAAACACAAACCCAAGCGCTGGCGGTGCAGTTTGCCCCGCAGGTGTTGTCTTTCATGGCAGCTTATTATTTTTTTTCATGGATTTTAGTAATGAAACGCTCGGCACTTTAGTCAGTTTTTCGTATTTTATTTTTTTTCATGTATTGTAGTGATGAAACGCCCGCTTAAATCAGTTTTTCCATTGTTTGAGGACATTTCCTCTTTGTCTGATTTGATTTGTCTATATTTATGTTGCCTTTCTGCCACAAAGTTCTTGTTTGGTTTTTTGCTTCTAGTGTAGTGTTGTTGGTTTGTTGACCATGCTGGTCTTGTAAGGGAGCTCATCCTGAGCTTTCCACTTTTATCGTAATTCTTTGGCCACTCTCCTTGTACGTTGAAGCGGTTCTATTGAAATTTGATGTTTTTGTAAAAAAACAAATCAGTTTTTCCTATTTTTTTTTTTTTTCAATTGAAATCTCTAAGTCTATTATGCAGTATTTTTATTTTTTCAATTCAAATATTTTATATATTGAATATTTATTATTTTTATTGGATAAAACATTGACCATAATTTGTACTATATTAATCTTTTGTATTTTGAAACCTATACTATTTAAATTTCTTGGTAAAATGCAAACTAATTAGTGAAATAATTCACATCATTCGCGAAAATGGACATATGATCATTCACAAAAATAAACACGTGCATGTCAAGAAGTAGGCAAGTGTGAAAGTTATGAATATTCATGAAGTTCGGGTTGCATTTTAGTACAAATATGGTTTAGCACAAAATATAGCTTAGGTTGCAAGCCCAAAACACTACTTGGAAAAAAAAATTTACCCATTTTTATGAAGCTTTATTTGTTGATGAATAAGTATACATATTTCCGCCTTTAAAAATATTATTTGTGACTTCTACAAGTCACTTATAAAATTCTAAAAGCTGTTTTTAAAATTATATATTCAAGAATGATCTAAGAATCCTACTAGTTGTGATCTTGTATACAACGAAAATGATTTTCAAACTTCCAATTTCCTTTATCCTACCAGATGTGAACTAATGATGCAAATTTTATAAATAGCATGAAATTAGAGTCAATAAATAAAATCCATCAATTATTCTAGAAAAAAAAAAAGCAACAAATTGATAGCTAGGCTGAAATTAATCCTTGCTAACTCGACAAACAGAAAACTCTTATTACACCAAACATCAACATGCAAAGCTTTATATTACAAGAAGTTGGCACATCACAGGAAGTAAACAGTGGTAAAACAAAAACACACCAATTTGAAACAGACTACATAATAGTTGGTTCGCATGATTTTGCCGGCTTACAATTTACAAACCAAACCAAGCATTTTATTTGGGTACAACACAAACCCGCATGCGCTACCTTCCGGACAGTCCGCAGCCACTTCCTTTTCAATCATGCTCATTTTCTTGGCCTGTATTTGATACCATTTTCATATAAATAAAATGATTTTAAAAATTGAACTTTGCTGCGTGAATTTTTCATTTAACGGAGGAATTAATATACGGTCGTTCCGGGTTGGAAATAGTAAATCCGGCGAAAAAGTCCTACTTTTGATCATTTTTTACAAGTTATTGGACTATTCATATTTTCTGCATTCCCTCATGACCAAAATTACTGTCTTCCTATACTTGTGGGACTAATTTTGAATTTTTTCCACCCGTTGCAATTCAACACAATACTGATAACTAAAGTCTTGTTTACATGCTACGAGTTTATATTTTACACAGCCAACACGTGTCAATGCTAGACTTACATACCTAACACGTTTCAATACAAGACAAGACTTGTTTTAATATAACAAGTTTCAATACAAGACTTGTTTTAATATAAATTGTAACTCAGAAGTACCACTCATAACGATACGTATGCCTGTCTTATTTTTATCTTGTTTTTATTTTTATCTTTTTTGTAATTATCTTTTTTTTACTAACTAAATTAACTAATTAATTTTACCTTAATGTCATATAATAAACAATTCAGTTGAATCCACAAGTATCAAATTGTAAAAACTTGATCATCATTAGAAGCACATTATAACATATCTTGAAAAAGTTTTTTGCTTAAGTAGATTACAATCAAATCTCGATTACATGAATCTGACATTTTGAAAAAGTTTTTTGGTTAAGTAGATTACAATCAAATCTCGATTACATGAATCTGACATTGCGATTACATGAATCTGACATTGTAGTACATGTATGCAATGTTACATAAACCTAAACCAAAGCATAGAACTCAAGGTGTACAATCTGACATTGTAGTACATGTATGCAATGTTACATAAAAGCATAGAACTCAAGGTGTACAATCTGACATTGTAGTACGTATGGAACACATAAAAGTGACATAAAGCATATAACTCTTTGAGTGATAAATTCTGTCAAAACCAACATTTTTTTGTAATTAATCAATTTCAAATTATATATTAGTTCATATGCAATTTATACATGGTGTATTTTTATTTTTATATATTTAGAATTTATTACTTTGATAGGACTTAGAGTATTTATTTATTCATGGATAAGTACATATTATATTAGTTTAATCCATTCTGGCCGTTAAAAATAATATTTATGACTTCCAAAAATCATTTATAGAATTCTACATGTTCTTAGAATTGTATGTCAAACAAAGACAAGTAAAATTCTAAAAGTAGTTTTAGAATTATATAATTCAACATAGATCTGAAATTTTTTAAGTTGTTTTTAAAATTATATGTTTAAGAAAGATCTAAGTATTTAAGAATATTTTGGATGGTTGTATTTTTACCCGAAAAATAGATTCAAGAATTGCAAATTAACAGATATTATTTCTTTATTAATATGTAGTTGAAATACTTATATATTATCCCCTATGAAAATGCCCAAATTGACAGAGAATTTTGGTACGAAAATATTTGAAATTGCTACACTATTCTAATTTCTAATTGTTCACGCATAAATCTTTCATGCAAGAAGTTGCACCAAAACAATACAATTTCAAAAACCTCAATTAGGATCAACTTACTTCACTCCTTGAAGCGTAGAAGATGATCGATACTCTTTGGCATATGTGAGATGAGTATA